CAGCACCCCTCAACACAAAAGCAACTGACACAGTCATGTCAGGACACAGCTGGCCTGAAGCACACTTCCGGCTGATGCATACAGCACCCCTCAACACAAAAGCAACTGACACAGTCATGTCAGGACACAGCTGGCCTGAAGCACACTTCCGGCTGATGCATACAGCACCCCTCAACACAAAAGCAACTGACACAGTCATGTCAGGACACAGCTGGCCTGAAGCACACTTCCGGCTGATGCATACAGCACCCCTCAACACAAAAGCAACTGACACAGTCATGTCAGGACACAGCTGGCCTGAAGCACACTTCCGGCTGAGTGTGAGATGACTGAGCCTAAATTAGGTAAATATCTGCAATGGATTCTAACACTGTGAGTTCTTATCTAAGGGGAAGTAAAAAAACCCACATTGACAGGAAGAGGAAGATGGCTGTCCTGTACACAGAGGAAACAGAGCTGGAGAGGTCTGGCAAACCACTCACTCGGGGCAACCATTACCACCCACAGATGACTCGGAGACAAGGGCCTTCAGCAGTGAGAAATGGGGCGGACCTACTTGACTAAATTTAGGTTCAGACTCAAAAGGCCGCCAACAACTGGGGAGTCTATGGGGCGTCCAGAGAGGATGTGCCACCACACAGGTAGTATTCATAATAAGAATGTTTTCTAAGAACCTGGAGGCAGTCCGCACAGAAGCCTAGATGGAGGGACATTTTTCAGAGCTGCTGGCCCTGGGATGCAGGACAGGTGGAACCATGAAAAACCAGGAGGCTGACAGGGGGAGAAGGGAGAGCTGCTCCCGACTGGTGGACAGGGCAATCCTTGCCTTAACACGCAAGAGAGCTGGATGCTCTGAGACTCATCTTCCCTTACACAGCTTAATAAAGGGCCTTAAGACTCGCGGGGGGTGGGGGGGCATGGAGAATTCCTTTGGTTATAGAGAAAATCCAGTAATCACTGGTGGACAGGAGGAGGAGAGCTGCTCCCCACTGGTGGACAGGAGGAGGAGAGCTGCTCCCGACTGGTGGACAGGAGGAGGAGAGCTGCTCCCGACTGGTGGCAGCCAACGGCAGGGGGTGCACTGCATGGGGCCACTGTTAGATACACACAAAAAGCCAGAGGACACGATGGCTCAACTGGTAAGACTGCGCACATCAGTGTGAAGTTCCTGGAACACCCTCAACTTGCTGTAGTTGAAGGGGAGGATCACCCTGTTCTTGGGAGGCACATGTGAGACATGCAGGGGGAGGGTCAGTGAGGTGATGACACATGCTGACATCAGGAGGAAGGCCACTGTGCCGATCCTCTGCATCTACACTCAACATGTTCAGACCGTGAGGGTCAAGAGCAACAGACAACTGGTGTGCCATGACCGCCTCAAAACCCAAATTTCAATTTTCCTAGGATGTGTGTATGTCACTAATTTATGTTGAAACACGGCAGCAAATCAATGCCCTCCATGGTTGGTGGCAAGGGCCCCACGGCACCAAAGACGAAAGACAATTCCTTCAAGATCACCCCTCACATACTTACCAGGGGCTGGTGTGACAGAGGAGGTCAAGGAAAGCACCGGGGCCATGAGGGTATCTTTTCCATCTCTCTTCTCTACGCCCTGAAATGGAAGTCAATGCTTAGAGTTTTGGATGTCAAGACCTGGTTATGGAGGTAGACTCTCCCTGACCATACACTATCCTGCAAGGATGGTGTCAGCCACTTCCCCTTCAACACAAGTTTGACCTTAGCATGACAGTGGCTGCTCGAGCTTCAAGCCACAAAGGGGAGGGGCCCAGAAGATCTGAGAACTCTGTCAACAAGGGCACAGCCACCTTTCTGCTCCCTCCCCGGCCATTGGTGGGTTTTCTTTGTCTACACTTGAATTAGAACATTTAGGGGCCATAGAGAGGACAGCCAGGGAGCTATAAACTCGGGCCTAATTCTAACCCCCTCCTCTGATCACAGAGTGCTAAGGACATCACCTGTGGTGCTAGTGAAGGAGCAGCACATAGACCAGGGTCCCCAAACCCGGGTTTGCACTGGCTAACAGCAGAGCAAG